AACCTTGTCAATCCACCTCGTAGAAATTTAACTATTGACAACTCATCAATAATAATGTATAATAGGTGATGAGGTGTGACATCTGAAATCATGATATGGGACCAAATTTTCGGAAACATTTTGATAAACTACAAAACAAACAAAAAAGAAACACTCTTAAGATATTTCGAATACTCTTATGCAATGTATTTGTATTTGTATTCAAATACATTTGAAAGACAGAATTCGAATACGTATTTCAAATATACGAATGACACCGATAAATGCCGCGARTATACATAATTTGAAAAAATATGAAGGTATAATAGGTRGGTAATTAATGTRGCGATTGGCTAAYCCATCGTAACGACCAACTCGAATACTATATAATATATAATGCTGTGTATATGCAGGTTTTGTATTGTAATATTGTTTATTGTTCCAAGAATTTTTTTTTTTTATTTCGCTTATTGTGTCGTTGTTTTGTACGCAGTGTGTTAATGTGTTTGGTTTTACTTCGGATTTCGACATCTGTACAGTGTTAAAGTGACGCCGAGTACAAACTTACGTACTTGAAACCGTGAGCATTTGAGATTTTCATCGTTTGATATTATACATGTGGGTGGACGAGTGAAATAATTTACTGATCAAACAACGAATATAATATTATATTTACTATCATATATATACCTATGTTATAGTATATTATATTGTACTCACTTAAAATGTCATAACATATTAWATTAATGTAGTACAATAATTTTAATTTTGACGAAAAGGCACCATCGTCTATTGTTGTAGACGACATTCCATGTTCATATTCTAGTAAAAAATCATAACTATTTGGTATAATCTGCGCAGTCCCGCGGTCGTTAGCTGTTTTCCGCGCTAAATCGAACATTTTTACGCAGCTCTTATACCGTTATACCGAAATTTATTTGAGTTTTTCGTCTTCGATTTGTCTTTATGCCGTCCTAAAACAACGTGCTTGACTTGCTTGTGCCCTAACAACGGTCCTGCAGGGTATATTATGCAGTGATTAACAGCGAATTTTATCAAAGTAGTGCTCATCATCATCGTTTCCTCGCCCCACCTTAGCTCATCCAACAATAATGAATAAACGTAGTACGCAATTTAATGTCTATATTTAACGTCACACGAGATAATTGCAGTAGCATATGATGTGTTGTGTTTTTTCACGATTAATTAATTAATTAAT